CTGCTGCTGCTGCTCGTGCTGCTGCTCCTCCTGCTGCTCGTCCTGCTGCTCCCCCTGCTGCTGCTCCTCGTGCTGCTGCTCCTCGTGCTGCTGCTCCTACTGCTGCTCCAGTTGCTGCCGCTCCCGCTCCCGCTGCTGCCGCTCCCGCTGCTGCTGCTGCCGCTCCCGCTGTTGCTGCTCCCGCTGCTGCTGCTCCCGCTGCTGCTGCTCCTGCTGCTGCTGCAGCTCCTCGTGTTCCTCCTCCTCCTCCTCATCATCATCATCATGTCGTTCCTCGTGTTGTTGGCTCTCTTGCTGTCCCCGAGCATTCCGTGATGCAATCCGGTGGCTGAAACGCGGCCCGGGTGTGTACGGTAGAATGCCCTCTCTCCTCGTCCACGACCTATCTGAGTCGGACTTGTCACTGCGCTACTCCTCGCGAGGGAATTCATCTCCCTTGTCCTCGTCCTCCTCCTCCTCTTCCTCCTCCTCCTCTTCCTCCTCCTCCTCCTCCTGCTCCTTGAAGACATCCGGTCCATGCGTCGTACTCTGAGTTGCACGACACGCAGTGACGATGTTGGTGCTTCCCCTCTCAGATCCAGTGGCGCCATGCCTGACTGCATCATCGTCCTCCACATTAAGCATGCCAATTGCCTCGCCTTTGAGATCCTCGTCCACCCAGTCTTGCTCCAGCCCCAACCAACCTCCTTTCACTGTCGGCCCATCTTCCCCTTTGCTCTTCAGTCTGAGGTTCCAGTGCGAGTAGACAAGCTTCTCTGTACGCTTGTGCTTCAGCTGGTTCCTCGTCTTCGTCTGCACGAGGGACCACGTGCTCCAGTTCCTCTCTGCAGGAGAGGATGTGGTCCATATCGAAAGCACTTTCATGGCCAGCATCTTCAACTCCGGATGACCACCTCCGTGTGCCTCCCACCACAACATTGCATTGTCCTTGTCTGCCCTCCTCAACGCTGCTGGGTCACCAAAGATCCCTCTGCCGAATTGGAAGTCGTATAGCTGGTCTTTGCAGTCCGTGAACTTCTGACTCCCATTCTTTGCAATGAGACGGTCCACCACGCTATCGAATTACGCCAAAGTCCTGATTGCTGAAGACGGTGATGTCCCTCTTTCCCACATCGCGCAAGATGCTGTCACGCTCATCGTCTGTGAGTGGTGCATGAAGAACACAATTCTTCAGATCCATGGCAACGTCGTACACCCTGGACAAGCAGTGGATGTCCTTGTCGACCATCTGCAACACATCGTAGGGCCCTTTCATCACTAGATACAACTTCTTCAAATCTGCCCAGAATGCCCTGTCAGTGATGAGGGACTCCACCTCGTAAGCGTCCGTCCTGATGTACGGCCGCCAATCCATGTTCGTCCCCCAACACCAAACGACGAAGGGCTCTCTCGCATGTCAACAGCCGATCCAACATGACGAAGTGGGTCTCGGACCTCGTAAGGGCAGGACGAAGAAGAACTCTGACCTCCACACCATTTTGTGCCATCAGCTCCGTCCTCAACATTGATCGCGGCCACTTGTGGTTCCTGAAGAACTTCACGACCATATTCGCCTTCTTGATGGCATCCTTAGCCCATGGCTTGTCGCCCACATTCTGCATGAACAAGTCCATGCAATGTGCAATGCACGGGATCCAGTATATGTGCTGGAACTCTGGATCCGCCCTCAACATCATGGCGACACTTTTGTTTCCCGAGAAGGAGTCAGTGCAGATGGCCGTGATCTTCTCAACCCCAATCTCCCTAAAGAAGTTCTTCCATCCACGAACAACTGCACCGACGTCCTTGTCCTGATCGCTGACGTCCTCATACTTGACGAATAGTGGCTTCGAACGCCCTGCGAGGATGTAATTCACCAATGACTGCCCACAAATGTCAGTGGTGCCGTCAGTGATGAACGTGCAGCCAGTGACCTACCAATCATCGCTGATGGCCTGCTCCTCCTCGCTCAACCTTTGCGTCAAGCCATCAAGAAGATAACACCGCAGAGGGTTGTATCCAGTGGGGACCAGGGGATGTTTGGCAGCAGGTTGTGGTCCATAGCATGTGTTTACGAACTTCTTGAAGGACTTGCTCTTCGCCACATTGAAGGGGATTGCGTTCTCCACAAAGAACTCGATGCAGCTCTCATCAATGTCCTTTTGTCGTGGGTTTTTGACCCACCTCGCGATGGAACTCTGCTTCCTCTGCCCGCGATTACACACTCGTGCTTGCAGTGCATTAGCACGAGAAGGGCCTGCTTCCCCCCGACATGCACCTCGCACATCGACGACCCTCCCCCCAACATCCTCCACCCCACTGCAAGACTGCGGACCCGGCTCTCCACCCCTCCCCACTTGTCTCCCTCCTTTGTCCCCAACGTTTGCCCCGACATCTCCTCCCTCCGAACCACCATTACCGGTGTTGTTCTCCTCCTCCTCCGCTGTCCGCACCAATTCCAGCAAGTCTGCAGGCAATACCACCCCGACAACATGCAGCCTCCTCCAGATAGCCAGTGTCCCATGAGGGCAACGTGAAGTCGGCCTCGTCCAAATGAAGTGCTCAACTGCACGCGGTTGTCCCCCATTGAACTCACGGCCGCACAACTTGCATTTCAGGCGACGACCACCCCGAGTGGTCTCCTTCAGCTTTTGCCCAACAGACACCCACGACCACACTCAGAAGTTACCCTGAAATGTCGGATCCTCCCTGAACGGCTTCTTCCCAGTATCTGCAGCTGAAGTTGCACTTGTCATGTTGCAGATTTGGCGGTTGCGGGACTATTACACGGGACTTGCGCTGAGAGCTGATGTCACACTTGCTGATGTGGCCTGCCTCCCACACACGCACTCGCAGTCGCAAAACCAATCACCACGTGTCAGTCTCTCATTAAAACAACAACAACAACAACAACAACAACAACAACTGGTGTGGCGATGGAAGAGGAGGAAGAAGACGACGATGGGGAGGAGGAGGAGGAGGAGGAGAAGGATGGCGATGATGGGGAGCAGGAGGAGGATGGCGATAGGGAGAGGAGGAGGAAGACGACGACGCTGGGGAAGGTCGTCTTACTCCTCGCCCCCCCCCCCCCATCGGCATTTTCCTCCTCCTCCCCATCGCCATCCTCCTCCTCCTCCTCCTCCTCC